ATCTGAAGGAACAAAACAGCAGAATCACAGAACCCAAGAATGGACTAACACTTACCAAAGGGAAAGGGACTGGGGAGAATGGGAGGGTAGGGAGGGATAAGGGCGGGGAAGAAGAAAGGGGGTATTATGATTAGCATGTATAATGTGGGGAGTGGGGTAGAGGGGGGCACTTTGCAACACAGAGAAGACAAGTGGTGATTCTACAACATCTTACTATGCTGATGAACAGTGACTGTAATGGGGTTTGTGGGGGGACTGGTGTAGGGGAGAGCCTAGTAAACATAATGTTCTTCAAAAAAATAAATAAATAAAAATAAATAAATAAATAGATTGTTGTTCATAGATTGGAAGACTCAATATTGTAAAGATGTAAATGTTCCTAAAGCTGTCCTATATAGATCAAAGTATTGTCAATAAAAATCATAACAAGGTTTTATAGGGAACTTTGCTAAGCAGATTCTAAAATGTATATGGAAATGGAATGGGCCAAAAATAGCTAAAATACTCTTAAAGAATCCAAAAGGAAAAGTACTTGCTCTACCCAGTATCAAGATTTATTATAAAGATTGGATAATTAAGACAGGATGATACTGGCAAAGAGTAGACGGATGGGCCACTAGAAGAGAATAGAGTACTTTCACTTGGATACTTCACCGTGCAGAGATGACATAGAGCAGTGGGCAAAGGATAGACTTTCCAGTAAGAGGTACTAGGACATCAGGATATCCATATGGGGAAAAAAAATGGAATTGGACTCCAGCCCAAGCTATTCACAAAAAAGGCCTATATGTGAATGGAAAACTAAGAAAGCTATAAAAGATAATACCATTAAGGAAGAGACTGTAAAATAAAGTACATTAACTGCATTAAATAAACTGAAACTGAGGAGACAAACTCACTGATGGACCAGAACACATAAAAGGTTCACAACTCCTACAAATCAGTAAGAAAAAAGGCAATAGATACTTCACAGAAGAAAAAATTCAGTTGTCCAGTATACAGGAAAAGGAGCTCGGCCTCTTTGTAATTGGGGAAATGCAAATTAAAACCACAATGAGCTATCACTACATGTTTGCCAGAGTGACTAGAATTGCAATATCTCACAAAGTGTTAGCGAGGATACAGAGTAATGAGAATCTCATATACTGCTGTAGTAATGCAATTTGGTACATATGAGCACTTGTATACCAGGAAACACATAAAAGAATGTTTGATAGTATTATGTGTAATAGCTCCAAACTGGAAACAGGCCACCCCTCAACTGTAGAATAAATTAAATGGTTGTGTATACTCATACCTTAAAGCGAACATTACTGTTATGTGCAATAACATGGCTGACTCAAAAAACATAATGTTGGGCAAAACAAGTGAGGCAAAACTAAACTATAGTGTTTAGGGATGCATCCTTAAGTGGTAAAAGAATAAAAGCAAAGAAGTTAGTAGCAGGATAGAGCTTGTCTTTTGGGAAAAGAGAGGCAGTTATGATTGGAAATGGTCCCATGGAAACTACTGGAGTGTTGACAATATTCTATTTCTTAATGTGGATGGTGGTTATATGGATATTCTTGGATATTTGTTAAGGCGTATGTTTATGTTTCATGCTCTTTTTTGTATGACTGATTTTTCTTGAGAAAAAGTTTTTAAAATGGTTGATATGATATGACTGAGCAAAGAACGAAAATATACACTCATCTTTAAATAAATGCTTCTGCAGTGAACTAGCCTCTCTAATTTAGTGTCTCTTACATGACAGGGTTGTAAAGTGAGGGACCATATGGTTGCTCTTCGTGAACAAGGTGAAGGTGGAGATTTGCTGTCCTGTCTGACTGCTAGAATATTGGACGATCTGCACAAACACAAAGATGTCATTGTTGTGCCTTTTTCTAAAGATGCAGTTAGGTAAGCCAGCGGGAAAATGCTATACTGTTGCTGTAGTATGTTCACTTCTTAGCACCCTCTCTCCCCTAGTGCCTCGCTAAATCAATAATGTCAGCCCTCAAATAGTGTACATTATTTCAGAAAGCTTAACTGAGATTTTATGATAGCTTATAATAAAGCAAGTAGGTATTTGTTGGCTAGAGAAAACACTGCAAAATATTGGAGGTCCAAGGGGAAGAAAAAACGAATAAAGGAAATTCTTAGCAATTGAAAGCTTGGGAACTGCAATCCAGTTTTTGAGGGTTTTTTCTTTTTCCCAAGTTCCCCATCATAAATATTTGATTGATAAAACGCTAGGGAAAAAATATGATTAAATTTAATTTCTGAAGTCACTTCCTTTATTTGGTAATTACAGCCACCTGTCAGGTTGAGGGTAGGAGGACCCTTTAGTAAAGGCTGTTCTCATAGCAGTACCAGTCATAGCAGCACATTTCCCTACCTGGCAAATATGATATTTGGAGTGCAGTGGTGCCCCCAGCCCTGCACATGGAGGACTTCTACAGGGGAATCACTAGGTGAATTAAGAAATGGAGCTGTTGAAGTGGTGTGCTATACTCGGGAACCATTTCTAAAGAGTGATTCATTTGCAATAAAAGATATATCATTTACATTTAAATTATTAATAAACTGGACACTTCTTTATAAAATGTCTTTTTATTTCAAGTGATTCTGGCATTGGTCCCTGTGATGAGAAGGGTCTAGAATGTGATGTTTTACTGGAGCCAAATACCCCATGGGGCCCCAAAAGTGGGGAACTCAATGCTGTGAGTAGCTTATTCCACTTATGCTTTATTTATATAAACAATTGATGACATTTAATCTTTGACAGGAACCTGGTCAGTCTAAACTGAAATTGAAATTTTCAGTTAATAAGCATTTACTGACTATCTGATCATAACAAGGTATTATGCTGGGTTAAGATGACTGTAAGCATAATAGGACACATTCCTTGTCCTCAAAGAATTAATAATAAACAACTTAAATTTGGGGGAAAAAAAAACATGGTCTTCAGGGTTTTTATTATGGATAAATAGTGATTTGGGGAATGAAGATAGTAAGATGGGATATTTTGTCCCCTCCCAGTCCTATGAACTTTTTTTGGTATGAAATTGTACTTTCAAATTGTAACCAGGAATGCATTTAGTTTTTCTAAGGTTTCAAAACAAATATTTTTAAGGTGACCAGAAAACTTTGATTTCTTTGATCCCTATTACTAACAATCAGAGAAACTTTGTGTTGGCTGAGGTAGCATTTACTTGGGGAACTCAACTATTCCATGTAAAATGCATTATCAACTCCAGGTGGCTATAAATGCTGAATCATTAACATTTATTTGTGAATTCTTATAAAATAGCAAATAAGATTTCTTGAATATCCATATGTGATCTGGTTCCTTAATTTATAATAAAACATAAACACAAAAAGTGCAGCTGTTCAAAATATAACTAAAACTATATTGTCTCTACATGTGATTTACCTTTCCTTTGGAAATGGCACTGATTTTCTTTTCTTTTTCTCTTTTTTTGTAAACATATACATCTTCCTCTAGGCAGCAGATGTAGATTATAGTGTATCATTTTCAGCCTGAGTTTTAAATTACATTTCATCCTGGAAGGAAACTTGCAACTTTTCTCAGCTGTCTACAGTATTCATATGAAAATAAGGAACTACAGTCTGGGCAGATGCAGATTTATTAATCTTTTATTCCTTTGTCTTTTTTATAGTTTCTGTCACTGAAAAACTGGACTCTGCAGCTGGTAAGTGAGCAACTATATTCTATTTCATGGATCTCTTTCTACTAAATTAAAGTTTAGTGTAATAGAATCTTACTAGTATCTTATTTTACAGATTTTAGTTAAATGTGTGTCATCCTTTCAGCTTCAACAATTTTTACTCACTAAAAATGCCATTGTTTAAAAGATAATGCTTCATTATCTGGCTGCATAGTGCATAAGTCTCCTAAAATGACTTTTTAAAAGTCACTTTTAAGCCACATTTAGGACATGAAACAAAGCAACAAATCTGTTAAGTTCCAGTTATTTGGCTGTTGGATTGATTGGTTGGGTTTTTTTTTTTTTACCTGTTTTCTACTACTGTGCCATCTCCCACAAGTATTCACCAGAATGGATCAGTGAGGACAGACAGTAGAATGGATAGAAGTAGGAATTTGATGTGAGTAATCCAGGGCCACAGTCATCCAGACAATGTGCACACATGCTAGTTTGTGAGATGACCTTTATATTAGCAATTATTGTATTTTAATCTAATCTTAATATCAAGAGTATATATTCAGTTGAGTGATGGAGGGTACAATTCAACAAATACTGAGTACCTGTTATGTGCCCATCACTCTGCTAGGATATGTGAAGGAAATAAATATTGGGTGTAACGTGATCCTGTCCTAATAGCCATTTCCTGAACATTGTGCGAGGCACATTTTATCAGCTCTTGTTTGCCTCATTCATCAAAATAAATTCAGATAAATGTATTTGAAAGAGTTCATTTGAGATGTGATAATATTATATTTTTAACAGGATTTGTTTTGTTTTCTTAAATTCAGAAACAACAGTCATTATTTTCAGAAGAAGAAGAATATACCACTGGCTCTGAAGTCACTGAAGACGAAGTTGGAGATGAAGAAGAAGTATCCAAGAAACAAAGTATTGGTTTCTAAGTTAAAATCAAGTGTCACTTTTACGAAAGGGTTGCATTCTGAAGGCTTTAATGCAAGGGCTGAGGAATTGGCTTTATAAGTCTACATGGTAGATTACGAGGAAGAAATAAATAAATAAGTAAAGGAGGCTCTTTCAAGATTCCCTAATGCTGGCACCAAAACAGAATACTCATGAAGTTATAAAGTGCAGTGTATTAAGAAATAATCCTCCAAGGTGTAACCCAATGGGTTTCGCAAAATGTGTGACACATCAAGGTACCTAAGACAATTTGAAGTGACACTCAAATGAAGGATTAAATCATAGTAACCAAAGTATGATTTTTAAAAATTAAAACCTGACTTTATAAAACTGTATACATGACTTCATACAACTATAGAATGAACCTGCATCAAAATTTTTCAACTCATTAGTAAAAGAAATAACAGGTTCAAAGAGCATTTGTATACTCCTATTTATAGGCATTGATAAGCATTTGAAAAGAATGTTTAAAAAAGATAGCAAGTTAGATACAAGACTGATTTCCTACAAGGCAACAAACTCATTATGTTTGAGGTTATCTTTTTCACTAGACAGAAATAATTTGTATTTCTATTAGATACAAAAAAACTACAGGTTCACATGAAACTTTACAGCATCTTCCTTTGATCAGCAGTACATAGAAAAGTCAAAAATGATGACATTCTCTAGAGAATTCAGTTATTCTTGTGTAGGCCTTTTAAACAGTCCCCCAATATGACACCAAAAGGGTATGCAACCTTCCCTTTGTCTTAATCACATGAAACTTTACAGCATCTTCCTTTGATCAGCAGTACATAGAAAAGTCAAAAATGATGACATTCTCTAGAGAATTCAGTTATTCTTGTGTAGGCCTTTTAAACAGTCCCCCAATATGACACCAAAAGGGTATGCAACCTTCCCTTTGTCTTATTTCCAAGTTTAAGTAATATTTCTTTACATGTGAATCCCTTTATGAAAAAACTACTACTTTACCAATTATTTTTCCATCCTAGTTAGTCCAGGAGAAAATACTGCTGTTAATGCGGGCTTTTATTTTCACAGTTGATTTGAGGTATAACTCACATGTAATAAAATTCACCCATTTTTTTAAGTGTGCATATTGATGAGTTTTGGCATGTAGTTGTGTAACCACCACCAAATCAAGCCCAAGAACATCCCTCCAAACAATTCTTTCCTGCCCCTTTACACTCAGTTCTCTTTCTCCACTTCCACCCCCAGACAACCTCTTGTCTGCTTTCATTACGAAGGTTTACCTCTTCTAAGATCACCTATAAATGGAGTCATGAGTAGTCTTTTAACTCTAGCTTCTTTCACTTAGTATAATGTTTTTGAGATTCATCCATATTATTGTGTACATCAGTAGTTCCTTTTTATTGCAGAATAGTATTCCATTGTGTAAATATACTATAATCTATCTATTTACCATTTCATGGACATTTGGGTTGTTTCCAGTTCTTGGCTATTATGAATAATGCTGCTTTGAACATTTGCATACATGTCTGTGTGGGCTTATGTTTTCATTTTTCTTGGGTAGATACTTAGGAGAGGAATTGCTGGGTTATATGGTGTGTGTTTACCTTTATAAGAAACTGCCAAATTGTTTTGAAAAGTAACTTATTTTGCATCCCACCAGCAATGTATAAAAGTTCCAGTTACTACACATTTGTACATGTACTTGGTATTACTGGTTTTGTTTAACTTTAGCCATTCTAGTGGGTGTACAGTTCTAGGCATCTTTTCATGTGCTCATCGGCCACTTGTATCTTTTTTGTTAAGTGTCAGTTTAAATCTTTTGCCTGTTTTTTAATTGGATGGTTTGCCTTATTTTTATTGAATTGTAAGAGTTCTTTATATATTTTTGGATACAAATCCGTATGTTTGCAGACATTTTCCCCTAGTCTATGATTTGCCTTTGAATTTTATTAGTGGTATCCTTTGGAGAGCTAAAGTTTTTAATTTTGTGAACTCTTAATTTTTTAGTTTTCCTTTTATGTTTCATGTTTCTGTAACTAAGAAACCTCTGCCTATGCCAAGGTCACAAGAGATTTTCTGCTGTTTCCTTTTAGAAGTTGTATGATTTTTAGCTTTTATTTTTAAGTCTATCATCATTTCCAGGCTAATTTTTGTGTATGGTGTGAATTAAGGGTCTAACTTACTATTTTTTCCATAGACATAGCCAGTTGTTCCAGAACCATTTGTTGAAAACACTGTTCTTTCTCCACTGGATTACCTTAGTACATTTGTTAAAAAATAAATTGACCATTTACATATGGATGTATTTCCAAACTCTGTTCTCTTCTGATTCTTATGTCTGTCTTTACATCAGTTTATCACCACCACACTGCCTTAGTTTTTGTAGTGAGTCCTAAAATCTGTTGGTGTGAGTCCTTCAAAATTGTTCTTTTACTTTAGATTATTGTGATATTTTTAGGTGTTTTGTATTTCCTATACATTTTAGAATGAGTGTAGCTATTTCTACAAAAATACTACTGGGATTTTTATTGGGATTGTATTGAACCCATTTATCAATTTTTTTTTACCATTGCAATTCTTCCAATATATGAACATGGAATATCTATTTAATTCTTTAATATCTTTCAGTAATGTTTTGTAGTTTCAGTATGCAAATGTTGAATATTTTTTGTTAAAATTTTTCCTAAGTATTTTTTATGCTTTTACAAATGGAATTAGGTTTAAAAAATTTTTTTAAATTGTTCATCAGTGGTAATTAATATACAACTGATCTCTATATTGACCTTGTATCCTGTGACCTTGCTAAATTCACTTAATTTTCCTTCAATTTTTAGATTCCTTTCCAATGCATATGCCTTTTATTTCTCTGTGTTGCCTTTTGCATTAGTTAGGAACTGATGTTGAATAGAATTAGTGAGAATAGGCATCCTTGCCTTCACTCTTTAACCATTAAATATATAATGTTACTTGTTGGTTTCTCATAAATGCCCTTTCTCAAGTTAAGGATATTCCATTCTGTTTTTGGTTTACTGAGTTATTCTGATGAATCATTGAATTTTGTCCAATGCTTTTTCTTCAGTTGAAATGGTAATATAGGTTTTCCCTTTTATTATAGCAATATGACAAATTACATTGATATTTCAAGTGTTACACCAGTCTTTCAGGGTAAACTCTACCTGGTTATAAGGTATTTTCTTTTTATGTATTACTGTATTTGACTTGTTGATGTTTTGTTAATGATTTTTTATTTGTGTTCATGAGGAGTATTTGTTGGGTCTTTTGTGATGTCTTCTTCAAGTTTTGGTATCAGGGTAATACTAACCTTATAAAATGAGTTGGAAAGTGTTTACTTCTCTTTTCTGAAAGAATTTGTATAGTGTTTGTATTACTGTATTTTAAAATGTATTATAAATTCAGTAAAGTCATCTGGGCCTGTAGTTTTCCTTATGTAAAACTTTTAAATTATGAAATCAAAATCTTTAGTTAAAATAGTGCTATTCAAGTTTTCTACTTCATTTTGAATCTGTTTTGATCATTTCTATCTTTCAAGAAATTTGTCCACTTTATCCAAGTTAGTCAAGTTTATTGGCATAAAGTTGATTGTGGTATTTTCTTATCCTTTTTTGAAGGAGCTATTATTATAATGCCTTTTGTTCCTGATATTGGTAATTTGTTTTTTATCTCGATCACTTTAAGTAGAGGTTTATTAGTTTTATTATCTTTTCTAAGAACCAGCTTTAGATTTCACTGATTATCTCAATAGTTTGTCTATTTTGTGTTTCATTGATTTTTCACTCTGAAATTTAGTATTTCCTCCCTCATAATTACTTTGGACTGTTTCCTTTTCCTATCTTCCTAAGGTAGAAATTTAAATCACTTTTTTTTTTTACTTTTCTTCTTTTCTAATATAAGCATTTAAAGCTATATGGATTTACTCTAATCACTGCTTCCATTATTTCTCATTTTGATATATTTTGTTTCCATTTATATTCAATTCAAAATATTTTTAAATTTCCCTTACGATTTTTTCTTTGACCCATGTGTTATTTTGTAGTGTGCTGCTTTATTTTCAGATTTTCAGGATACTTTTCAGGTATAGGTTTCCAATTTAATTCCAGAGAATGTACTATATGTGGTTTCATCCTTTAAATTTTATTGAGAAATATTCTGGATATTCATGAAAAGAATGTGAATAAATGCTGTTATTATTAGAGAAGTCCATAAATGTCAGTTCATGTTGACTATCTGGCACAAATCTATCATTGTGCTAATTTTCTACTTGTTTTATCAGTTAGTAAGAGAGGGGTGGGTGTTGGAATCTCCAGCTGTAAATGTTAATTTATGTATTTTTTCCTTTTAAGTCTATCAGTTTTTGTTCTGTGTATGTTAGAGCTTTATGATTAGGCACACATACATTGATAGTGTATTGATTCTTATCATTATGATGTATCCTTCTTTGTCTATAGTACAACTAATGATGTTAAAGTCTGTTTTGTTTGATATTAATATAATCTCACTGTAGAGTTCTTTCATTCACTGTTTGGATGGCATATCTTTTTTCTATCCTTTTATTTTCAACCTCTTTGTGTTTTTTAAAGTGCATATTTTGTAGATAGCATATTGTTGGAAACAGCTTTTTTAATCCAATTTGACAATCTCTGACTTTTGATTAGAGCATTTCATTTATATCTTACGTATTTATTGATATGGTTATATTAGTTCTGCCGTTTTGCTATTCATTTTCTAATTGCCCCCAAAGGTTTTTGTTTCTTCTCTGCATTCTTTGTGCTAAGAAAATAATTTTGGTGTATCATTTGAACTACTTTATTAGTTTTTTAGTTATATTTCTTTGCATTTGGTTGTTCTAAAGATTGCAACATGGATCTTCAACCTATGTCTCAGTCTACTAAAATGAATATGAATTACTTCAGATAAAATATAAGAACCTTAAAAATAAAAATAATAATAATAATAATAGAGGGAGAAATGTGGGATCAACATATAAATCAAGTACAAAAATCAAACGAATATTCATATTTGACCTGATTGTTTATAGGTCATATTGCATGATCAAAACCGAAAGTTTCTGTGATGACTGCCCTTGTACTGTTCACCATGTAAGAATTTATTCACTATGTAAGAATTCGTTCACCATGTAAGAACTTGTTCGTTATGCTTCAGAAGATTGGAGA